CTGGTTTACGCGCTTTTTATTGACGTATGGTATGACGTTATCCCGTTTCGTCTCTGCCTGGGACTCTAAAATTCTCTTTATTTACGATTTAATTCGTCTGTTGTAATTTCGAATAGAATAAATAGCAGATTTATTTTTTTGAAGAAAATAAATAAAAATTTTAATTAGTTTTTATATACTTTTATAAATATTAATTAATATTTTATAATTTTAAAAATATTAATGATGACAACTCAACTTAATAATAATACTTACGGTTGAGGTTTGAGTGGTTAACTTAATTATGAGCACAGACAACTTGTTAATTTGAAAAAAAAACTTTATTTTTCATAAATAAAACTTTAAATTCGAATTATATAGATAGTGAGAGAATTTTCTTTTTATGAATAAATTAATTAAAATTTAACATGATTTTAAAATATCGATAATTAATATATATATATATATATATAAAAAGGCTCAATCACGAGCCATTAAGGCTTGGGCCGGCCGCGCAAATCATCAAGTTAAAATAAACATTCGAATTGAGAAGATGACATTGCTTCAGTTGGGCGCCCATTTGTAAACTTGCATCTAAACTTTAGGCCCCAAAACACGGACCAGACAGACACAATACTGTGTACAATACAATAGACAGGCATTGAGTTCAGGGCGAGAGCGAATATATTCGCCACAGGTTTCTCACACTCCATCTTGCAGCCTCCGCCCCCTGCGACCGTTGCCTTCACAATATCCGATTGACTCCCTCCTTTCTCTTCAACAGTAGAGAAAAATCATTCCATTCCATTCCACTGAATTTTTGGTTTAAAGCTGGTTCCCATTCCATGGAAGAACACTGGCTTTCGTTCCTTCTGCAATACTTGTGCTGTAATTCATCCTCTCCTCTGCGGTTTTATAAACTATTAAATTTCCTTCTACTAAGTGAATTCGCTGAATCAGTATTCACTTGCACAGGCAAAGTCTGAGACAGTGCAGAAAGTTTGTGACATTGTGAGAAAACAACTGGCATTGGCTGCAGAAATTGAGTTCAGTAGGCCGGGATTCAAACTCTGTGCTCTCGGTGCTGATTCCCTTGACACGGCAAGGCCATTATATATATAGTATGCTACAACGTAGAGTATGCAGTGCCTGATTATATATTGGGGATGTGTTGATCAATGTTGTTTTGAGAATGAAACAATTTGTGGTTGTCATATATATGTCTTATAGGTGGAGAAAGTGATGGGGTTGGAGCAAGAGTTTGAAATTAGTGTAGAAGAAGAGAGCTTGGAGAACATCACAACTGTCCAGGAGGCAGCTGATTTGATAGAGAAACTGGTGCAAAAGAAGGCTGAAACTTAGAATCAAATAAGGAGGTGAGTTTAGGAGGCATGATTATCTTCACCAATAAAAATGTTATGATTATTAAAACTATAAAATATTATTTTCAAAAATATTAATTTTATTTAATTTAATTAGTAAAAATAGTTAATATTGTAACAATTAATTAATAATTGATAAAATAATTAATATTTATTAATTAATAAATTAAAATTAATCAATAAATTAATATTTTTAAATATTATTTTCAAAACTAAAATTTTAATAAATTTTAATATTTTTTATAATGATCATATTCTCATCTACTTTTTGTTTTGATCGTAACAAGCTAATAATTGCCTTGAAAGATGTAGGTGAGTGCGTAAGCGCCACTAATTAAAAAAGGAAATTCAAATTGATACTACTATTTCAAATCGGTACTAGTACAATCTTCATGCATTTAATATGATTTTCTAATTTACGGGTGTTGCCTCAAAAATCTCATTTTTTTAAGTCACGTGGCAAATAAGATTACAAAGACGTGCCATTCACTTTGCTTAAAGTGAGAAAAAAGAATTTTTGATGATTCTCACTACTGTCAAGCATAAATTCGACTGCAAATTGATGAAAGAGTATCAGTTAAATGAATTATGAGATACGCCCTAAACGATTGTTGCAGAAATAAAAGTACATTCCTGCATAAAAGTTTGTAAATAATTGTCTCGAAAGAACATCAGGAACTTCCCACAACTATGACAAAAATATTAGTTTGCTGATCGAAATAAAAGAGAAAAAAGAGAGTGTATGGCAGGAAAACTAAATTGCAAAAATAAACATGATGCCGTCATGAAAACATAGAAAACGAAATAAAAACTGAAGTATAAAACTAAATTTAAAAGAAACTAGGAAGATGAATTTTGGGCAAAAGTGTAATAAATTGAATTGTAAAAAGTTAAATACATCAAGTGAAGATGTTCATAATGAAATAACAAAAACTAAAATTAAAACTAATGGTAGTGTAGAGTTAAAAGACTTAATTAGGAAAGCTGTTTGAGAAAATTTGATCTAAACAAAGACATTACTTGTCAAACTAAAATGTATATAGCGCTGAACTAGTTGTGTGAGAAACTGGTCTCTTTCACTTTGTTTATTCTTTGCATACTTATAGCAATAAACATCTCTTGGCAACATGCTTGGAGATCTGCAATAGTAATCTTAAAAAAACCAATGGCAACATGATATTTGAAACAAATCAATTAATCTGTTTGTATTTTCGATTATCCTCTTGAAAGTTCGCAACAAGCAAATGATTTTACTACCGTTGTGAAAATAATCACTTAAATTTATTTAGAGAGATTTATACAAATAATTTTTAATTAATAAAATACCTACTAACATAGATAATATGTGGTATCATTCTATTTTTTGAAAAAATATATGTAAACAATGGGAATCAACTGATTGACTCATGAAAAGAGTTTGATGATTCGATTAGTATTTCTAATTTGACCTGGACAAAGTCCTTCGGCCTCTCTGGGTTATCTACTGCAGTTTAAATTTTCTAACATCGAATTTGTCAAACTACTTCAAAAGTAAGTATGGCTCTGACTCCCACCAAGTCAGTTGCTTTCTAATTAAGTGGAATTAAAATAATAATAATAATAATAATATGTATAAAAAATAATAACAAAGATTTTTTTAATTTGTATTGTGTTAAAAATATTGAAAAAATTATTAATTTATCATTTTTTTAATTAAATTTGTTTAAATAACAACAACTTTGAAATTAATATTAATTTTTATTTTTTTATATATATTTATGACAAAAAAATATTCTTAATTTATACCTTAAAGTACAAATTAAAAAATAATAATAATAATAATACAAAGCCATGTTCTTCTTGCACCAGATTCACGCCTCCACCACGTTCCGTATGCCAATTTCACAAGGTATTGCAACAAAATCATCTTCTTCTATGGGTTAGAAGTGGATTGTTGACGCCTTTCTTGATGGTTCGTTCATTTTCATACTTTAATTAAATACACCTTCTTCGCGTGTAGGAAAGGCATGCATAACCTCCAATACTTATCACACAACACAGGTTTTCCATTTAACAAGTCTTACTTACCAATCCTCTTTTGCTCGTCAATTTATATCACTTCTATTTCCATGTCATTATTTAAAATTTATTATGTATTTGAGTTACATAAATTTTATAAAACAAAGTACAACCCGTTATATAAATTTTACTCTTTTTATTTTTAAATAATTTGACAAAAGATGAGATTGAACTTATTTAAAAGGGAAATTAGTGTACTTATTCAATGTGACTAATATCACTAGACCCAAAGGATTAAGTGCATATAAATTTTACTTTATAATTAACTATTAACATAGAGAGATATATTCTTTAATATTAAGAATTTATTTTTATATTAATAATTAATTGTTTTACAATTTAAGCAACAACATTATGTTTGAATTAAGAGAGATAATGGAAAGAGATAGAATTTTCCTTAAATCCAATGAAGGGCTTGATCATAAAATCTATACTATTTAATTAGATGAAAAAGGTTTCATATTTCCTTATTTACCCCAACACTAAGTCACAAATATGATGCTAATAGATCCTCATGCTCCGATCTAATAGTTAAAAGCCACTAGATAACACGGGCAAAAGAAAAAAGCACTAATTAATATGGATCACCTTCAATGAATTGCATATTGGACTCTCATGAGATTCTTTCGTACATCCTTCAAGCTTCATCCATGGTTGTGATTAGAAAACATTTCATTAAAATCATTAAAATCATTAAAATATTATAACAATTATGTTTATTTAATTTATTTTATTAATTTATATTTTAATTTTAATATATTAAGTAATAAATATTAATTAATAATTGTAATTATCAATTATTTTTAATAATTAAATAATATTTTATGTGATCTTAATAAAATAGCACAATGCAATAACCATTACTCCATCCTCTATTACACTTACCATATACATAGGTTAAGAAGAATAGAGAAGAAAAAAAGAGAGAATTATACATTATTCTCCTCCATATCCCTTATTTGAATAAATAATTAAATTAAAAAAATAAATTAAAAGATAATTTTTTTACTCTCCTTTTAATTTTTTTGATATGCAAATAGAGAATTTTTTTCCTTCCCTTTTCTTTTCTTTTCTTTTTCTCAATCTAAACATATGATTAAATAAATACTAATTATTTTTTTTACAAAATAATTGATATTTTTTTAATTTAAAATTTATCTTAAAGTAATAGCCTTTTTTATTTTGAAGAATATAAATATTTTTTCACTTTTAACTTTGTAGTTATTTTTTAATTTTAATTATCAATTAGAAATTAAAGATAAAATTTATCTATAAAATTTTAATTTAAAAGTAAAAAAGAAAAGAAAAGAAAAAAAGAAAGCCTATCATGTGATCTTAATGCAGAGGAGTACCTTTCCTTGAAAAAAGAAAAATTGATACTGATGTAAGATTAATCAAGGAATAGTCATAGACACGTAATGTACGTCAAATGGCGTGGACGGTAAAGACTCCAACAGCTACGTGTCTTGATATGAACCGTTTATCAGAGTAATTGGATCCACCCCAGTGATGGCCAATGGTATATTTCACCGTTTCACTGTGCGGCCGCCGCAAAAAAAAATCACCGTTTTCCGCTCACCAGACCGAAATCTCGGATCCCAACACGTCATCCCGTCACCACTGGGTCCCAACATATATCCCGTCAATTCCTTAGCGGGAATCCTGCATCTCAAGTCAAACGACGTCGCACCGTAGCCAGGCCTCCCCCCACCTGGCATATCAACACCTTCAAACCCGCACTCCTCTGTCTCCGTATCTTTCTCCCTCGTGAGAGGCGTCTCCCCGAATTCTCCTCCAAAGATAAATATAGCTTCCAACACAGCCTGAAACGACGAAAAAGGAAGGAAAACTATAGATACCCAAGTAGATAAGTTTCTAGATGGAGCGGAGGAGGGCAGCGAGTCCGGTGCGTGGGCGGCACTGGAGTGGGGAATCCAGCAGTTCGGGTTCGTCTTCGCCGGCGCACCCGCAGTCACGGGGTCCCGGAGGAACTGGAGGTGGTCTGTCCACTATCAAGCGCTCACAGAACGTAGCCGCAAAAGCAGCTGCCCAGCGTCTTGCACAGGTCATGGCTTCACAGACTCCAGACGAGGATGAGGAAGACGACGATCTAGGGTTTCGATACAGTGCACCTCCTCTGCCTACTGGTTTCTCGAATAATAATGGTAATAGTAATGGTAGAAGTCCTTTGCCTGCGATCTCGGTTACTCGGCCCAGTAGATCTCCCTCGCCGGCGGTAATTGGATTAAGTTGAAGTGAATTTGAACCTTATTGAATTGTTCTTTTCTGGATAATCATTTGATCTGATTGCAGACCTCTTTTTTTTTTTTTTAATATTAATTAGGTAGGTCGGAATTTTGTAGAGCATGCCGCGTCTGTGCGGTCCACCTCAGCAGGGAGGCCGACAATGTCAGTGCGGTCAACCGCACCAACGTTGTTGCCACCGAGCAGAACACCTGTTAGAACTCCGGCTTCTATACCTCCGATTGAGCCTCCTTATATGGGTAGAGATAAAAGGTTAGTCTGAAAAAAATTGAGAAGAACATAATTGCATGATCCCGTGTCTATTTTGCATTGCAATTTAGAACATGTTCTATAGTTTAATGATTTAAAATATAAGAATTCTGAAGGATGTCATTTCGTGTAGATTCTTGAGCCTTCAACAAATAAAGTATGCGACATAAATTTTTTTTATTATTTATGTCATAGAAGGGGTATTTCTTATAATGTAATGTAGTGAGAGATCAAAAAGATCTTTTCTGGACAAATATAATTGATTCCGGATGATTGAATTTTATTACTGGAAAGTGTTGCAGATTTACCGCAGATGTAGTAGGGCAGTTCAAAGCAAAAGACACAAGTGATCAACGTGAAGCTTCTGCACTTCGTGATGAAGTATGCCATTTCAACTCAACTTGATATCTGACGTTCACCCTTTGAAATTATGTTCTTGGTCACTATTTGCCATGGCATTTGCATTCCCTGCAAGCATTACTAATGGCCTTATTTAACTCAATGAGTTCATGTTAAACATTAGAATTTTATGCTCAACCTTTAAAAAATATATGATATTTGGCTCTATAAGGCTGAAATGTAATTCTTCATGATAAGGGCAAACCATTTTTTTAGCAATTCCTTTTATTTTTGTCTGGGGTACTTGAAAAATAATCTTGAGCAGTCAGTTTGAAGGTGATGCTTTTGGTTTGCAGCTTGATATGCTACAAGAAGAGAATGTGATCATTCTTGACAAGGTGTGCCATCCCAATCTAAGTAGAAACTTAGGCTATGATGTTGATGTTATTACTGATGGAATATACTATTCATGCCTGTGTTTGCTGTGCAGCTTCATCGTGAAGAAGAGAGACGCGAGGAAGCAGAAGCTAGAGCTAGGGAGCTTGAGAAACAGGTTGGCTTCAGAGTTTTCATATTTTCCATTTGGATTGCATTTTGCTTGTGTTGGTTAACAAATAAGCTGCTGCATTTAATTCAAACAAATCTCTTGAAGTTGAGTATTGTTTCTTCTTGTGTGGAAAATTTTCCTTTCCTAGTTTGCAGTTCATCTTTGGTGTTGATAAAATCCTGTGTGCAGGCATTTGCTTGTTAGTTTTTAACTGCAAGAAGCAAATGTGAAACTTGCCCAAATGTTATTTAGTTTTAACTGGCTTTAGTAGTTTAGTAAAATTGTCCTACAGCTTCTTTAATTTGCCAAATTCAAGCTCGAGTACTTCCAGTTCCATTCTGTATTTATAGTTGTTGATAAAAAAAATTCTAATGTTTATAGGTTGCTTCTCTAGGAGAGGGGGTCTCTTTGGAAGCAAAATTATTGAGTAGGTAAGTAAGGAATCTCTTTTTTCCAGCACTATTCAGTTGTTTAATGTTCTGGTTGTTACCTTGTATGGTTTATTATCTGCAGGAAAGAAGCAGCATTGCGTCAAAGAGAGGTAACTTGCAGGAGCTTTCTCTTGAATATATTGTAAATATAGTTTTCGTCATGGTCAAGCTTGAGCTACTTTAAAATAATTTAGTAATATATGCTTCAATTTTATTTATATATATCCCCTGATTCATCTACTGTTTCAGTTAACCCATGTCATAGTTTTTATCCTCCCTCCCCTCTCCTCCACCTGCATATCATTGGGTGCTAAATATTTTCCTTTATCCATGGCTTATACTTAATTGCCATGACCGTTTATCACAGATTGCTCTTAAGGCTGCAAAACAATCAAAGGATGGGAAGGATGACGAAATTGCTGCCCTTCGCTCAGAACTTGAGGTAAATTATGCAAAAAATGTTAATCTAAAGGGGTGTGCTTTGTCATTTTTTTAGAAAGTAATTTCTTGTCCCTCTTTCTTTTTTCTTTTTTTTTTTAATCAGAGCTTGAAAGACGAGGCTGCAGCAGCTGTGGAACAGTTCCAAGAAGCAGAATCTGAGGCCAAAGCTCTTGGCACAATGACACAGAGAATGATTTTGACTCAAGAAGAGATGGTTTGTGCAATTGAAATTTAAGAGAGATTTATTACTAAGCATTTAATTTTTAATTTTGTAATAAACTGGATTTTTAGGAGGAAGTTGTCCTGAAGAGGTGTTGGCTTGCTCGTTATTGGGGGCTAGCAGTTCAGCATGGTAATCAAGTTGCTAAATTTTTTTCATTTTTTATTTTTTATTTTTTATGATAATGAATTTCATCATGCATTTCTAGATGAGGCACAGAAAATTTAGAATTTGATTGTATGCACTTCCTATTAAATCTATAGAAGTATTCTATTATGAATGAAAGACTTGGTTCTTTGATTGTTACATATTTTTTGTTGGTTTATATTCCTTTCTTCAAACACAAGGTATAGTAATTATTGATTGATCCATTCTAGTTGTACATTAAAGACCACAGTTTGCTGTTGCCTTGATTCCCCATTCTTCCATATTGTATACTTCATCTTCCTGCTGTTCTCTCTTGATTGCTTTAATCATAAGTTATTCTGTCAATAAAATTCGGTTGTCCCTTTTTTTTATTAAAAAAAAAATCTGTGTTGATTTATTTCATTTTTTACTTGTAGAAGATGTTTTAAACTTGTTATTTGTTGAATGGCTGTTTTTTATAAATTTATTAGCTAGATCTAAGTCACTATTTCTTGTGATTTCTTCTACGTCTACAGGCATTTGCACAGATATAGCTGCATTAAAGCATGAATATTGGTCGGCATTAGCTCCTCTTCCATTTGAAGTTGTTATTTCTGCCGGACAGAAGGTGAAGGAGGAGTCTTGGGATAAAGGCAGGTTTATAACCTGATCAATGACCATATTAATCTAATCAAAATTCTTGTCTTGTTTTGTTAGTAAATTGCAATTTATCTGCATTGTGTTAAGCTATAGTATCCTGGAATAATGCAGGTGGTGGTGGTTCAGATGGGGCAAAAGTTGCCAGGGATTTGAGTAATCTGACTGGGGAAGGAAATATTGAGAGTATGCTTTCGGTTGAAATGGGTCTAAGGGAATTAGCTTCTTTGAAGGTGGGCACTTTAACCTTTGCAAACATTTATTATCTTTTTCAGTTTACACTGAATTCTTATTTCTGTAATTTTGCTTTCACTTCTTTAACATAACCACAATGGATTTTTAAGGTTGAGGATGCTGTTGTGCAAGCATTAAGCAAGCAAAGAAGACCAGCGTTTCTTCAGCAATCCATCTCCGGTTTGTTTTATCCTAGTCTCTCTTAAGATATGTTGTTTGAGGATGATTAATTTGGTTGCCTGGTTGGATGGACAGACTCATTCAATCTTTATAACTCCCCTTGGCATTGTAGATTTAATTTTTATTACCTCTTTTTTGCCTTCAAACAGTAGCAATTTTTATTACCTTAATAACTTCCTCAGAGCCGTGGTTTCTCTGGCTGCCTCTCTCAAATTATCATTTATGTTCCCATTTATGGAAATATAGGTTTGTAATTGGGATAAAGTGAGGTGTGGCATGTAGTCCTGGGTTCTCCTGGGCAGTGGCTTTCACCTCCCTCTCCCATTGTAGTTTGTGGATAAAGGTTTTAAAGAGAAATAGAGAAGAGAGGAAACTGAGGGAGAAAGAAGAACTAGAAGAAGTTGAAAAGAGATGGGAGTGGAGAACTAGAGGAAGGAACAAAGCACAAACATGGGTTGAGAGAATTCCTTAGAAGTCCTAAAATGAAGAAGACATAATTGACTATAACTTGTATTATGGGGTTAAGGTCAGAGGTTCAAAGTTCAAACCTCTATAATAGCTAAATACTAGTAACTTTTTTAGCTAATTTAAAAATTAAAAGAATATATTCTTTGGAATGTGAAGCCCTTAAATAATAAATAACTCTAAATAACCTCAATAAGACTAAGTAACAAAAATTAACTCTAAATCCTATTATTGGAATTCCATAGTATCTTGAATCCAAATTACAAAATTGAAAGTGACTTAATTTCTTCCTATGAGGCTACTTTTACAACTGGGCACCTGTTCTGTGATTTAGAAGTTCACACATTTCTTTTGCTTGAATCTCAGGTAAAATTTTATAGTGTTTTCTCCTTCTCTGACTTTTCCTTGATCTTAATTTTCAGATTCCAAATCACCAGCGGATCCTAAATTTATGGAGGTCTTTGGTAAGACGCTACTGTCTTTGTTTACTAGTATTTTAGGGCATGCCTTGGTGTTGGTTTTGCGAACTATTTCAAAGATCTGCTGGTTTATTGATGATGTATTGAATTTCTCTAATCTCTTGCCTTCAAATGCAGAACTAAGTAAAGAGGAATCAGAAGATGTTCTTTTCAAAGAGGTTAGCCTTTTTCTTCAATTAAATATTTAAATGCTGTATGTAGTGTGGGCCTCCAGCATAAATTTGTCAATGGGGGATGCTTGTTCCAAAATTGATGGGTTACGGATTCAGCCCTACCCCACATCTTTCTACCCCAGCAGTTGTTCTCTGACTTTGGGTTTCATATATTCTATATAGGCAGGCTGCTATACCATGTGACATGGTTCTTATTTTTTCTTAATAATGTGAACAGGCTTGGCTAACGTATTTTTGGAGAAGAGCCAAAGCACATGGTGTGGAAGATGATATTGCAGAAGAGCGGCTTCAGTTCTGGATCAGCCGTAGTGAGCAGTCACCTACTTCACATGATGCTGTGGATGGTAAGCTTACTTATCAAAAGCAAAGCCATTTTATTTATCTCAATCATAAACGAGTGGAAGAAAAAAGATAGAACATTACGTGTGCAGTAGTGATTTCTTGGTGAAATTAATCCATTATAACCTGTTCTGACAGTTGATCGGGGTTTATTTGAGTTGAGGAAGTTGGGAATAGAACCGCAACTCTGGGAAGCATCTCGGAAAGAAATCGACCAGTCATCTCCTAGACATTCTAATCATAAAGTTTCGATTGATTCAGAGGCATCTTCATGATTCATTCCTACCCTCTATCTCTCTCAATGAATGTTGCTTATGTCAAATTTTGGATGGTGTATATTTTGTTTTCCTTCATTTTTTGATATATTAATTTTTTCAAGCTTGTGAAAAATCTAAGTAGTTTGCTTTCTTCTATGTAGAAACGTCTGGTGTTCCATTTATAGTTGGTTCATTCCAAATTCCAATAATAAAATCCCCAGTGTTTGCTGTTTGGCATACTAACCTTGTACATCCTATCCTTCTATTTTTAGGAGGAGCCAGTTGAGTGACACTTCCACCATCAAATAAATAGTGTTTGAATTTTCTGTATTGTACCATACAACATGAGATTGAAACACCTTTTGCTATAGATGGTTTTGGCCTATTTTCAAGTCAGTGGACGATGTAAAAGCATCTTAAAGACCTTCTTCATGGCTTAAAGGATCTTCTTCTTCTTTTTTTAGGGGGGGGTGGGGCCGGGTTTAAAAGAGGAAATTGAAATGATTTTACAGGAGTAGAAACAGAGGGCGGTCTCATTTTTTAAAACCAAAGGCCGCAACTGGTCCAGGCTATAGGAGGTCTCGTACTGGTTCTACTTTCAGGATGGTCCTAACTGCATTTGTGTTTGTAGTTATCTGCATTTTTTAAAGTAGGTTTAGTTTTTTTTTATTTTTTTTTTTTTTTTTTTTTTTTTTTTTTGTGAAAAAGTAGGGTGTAGTTTACTAAAGATTCCTTAGTCGACTAAATTTAAGAAATAATAGAGGCTTAGTTGACTAAAGATTACTTAGTCAATTGAGACTAGTCGAGTTTAGAATTCATTTGATATAGTGGTTTAAGGTTGCAATTTATGATTTTGTTTAAATCATTAAAATAAGCCGTTTAATAAATTTATTTATTTTAAAAATACTACAAATTAAATGTTTCATAAAATTTTTTATTTACTAATTTGGAACTCATAGATAATGATTATGATTCAAATTGTTAACAAATTAAAAAAATTACTTAAAGTAATTTTTTGTATCAAATCACTAGTAAATTAAAATTTTTTGATTTTATTAACAAATTTATTTTTTTTATTTTTTTAATTTTTTTAATTAGTACTTATTTAATTAGTTTCAACTTTTTTTTTAATTTGGAACTCATAGATAATGATTATGATTCAAATTGTTAACAAATTAAAAAAATTACTTAAAATAATTTTTTGTATCAAATCACTAGTAAAT